ATATATATACGGCTTGCCACAGTGGATGAGTTTAGGGATAGAAGCTGAGCGCAGGGGGGTGGGGCTACAAGTTTATTTCTGTTCAAAATTTTTCTGTTTTTGGGTTGCTAAGAAATGACATATATCGCCTTTATAAGTAGACCAACGTGTCATGCCAGCATCTCAGAAGCCTCAGGTTCCCAAAATGAAAAAACAGACGACTAAACCTTGGATGCCAGCATCTCAGAAGCCTCAGGGTCCCACCTTGAAAGAAGAGCCGACTAAACCTTCGATGGCACCATCTAAGAAGACTCAGGGTCCCACCAAGACAAAAAAAGGTACATCGTACGCACTTTTCTACGGAAGCGTATTGCTATCACGCAGGGGGAAAAAATCCGAGCGCTGTCACGTTAAAACGTGATGGTTATCTTGTTAAAACGTGATAGTATCTCGTTAAAACGTGATGGTTATCTTGTTAAAACGTGATAATTCAATGTCCTGGAAGTGGCGGTGTTATGCTAGGCTAGTACAGTGCCTGACATGATTTGGTCGGATTTCCCTGTAACTGAGGGAAACTGAAAAAACTGAAACGGCTGTTTCAGCTCTGATCAGAACCGTTTCAGCTCTGATCGGATCATCAGAGCTGAAACGGCTCTGATCAGAGCTGAAACGGCCGTTTCAGTTTTTTCAGTTTCCCTCAGTTTCTAGGGAAACGGCCGTTTCAGCTCTGATCGAATCATCACAGGAAGCTTCTGCCCGTGGTTACAGGATGTTTACAGTTTCCCTGACAACGGGGAGTGAAGTTTTGCTAAAGTCAGCCAGCTGCCTTCTCATTCATATTAAATCTGACACAGAAGCTGTCACCAAAGAATATTCTATTAATATTGTATTGTTTGCCCCATGAAGCATATTTAAATATGCTGAACTATGTATATAAATACATTAAAAATACAATTGTTTATAAATGTAGCTGTTTGTATAAGGTTTGCAGTGACAAAACAAGATGTTATGAAAGATTAAATGCTTAAACACGTGATTGTGCCTGCCAAACGTATCACGCTGAGTGGAGCGGTCGTACGCTCTAAGATAATACTGAACACATTTAACCACAAGTGGTTAAAAGTGAAGTATAAAAGTGGTTAGATGTGAAGTATAAAACTTCACATTTATAATTTTCCATATAAATTATCCTTTTTCCCCGTTTCGTGTCCATTTGGATTCTTGTAGTTTCAATCTGTGTGTGAGATTTTCCATTATKAATATGTCTTCCAGTACTGCAGTCAGTTACAAATACTTTTATTTTTTAGTTAAATCAAAACTACCAGAGCTGCAGCATCCTGCTGTGAAGTTTGAAGACGTTGGGGGCAACGAGGAGACATTAATGGTAAGTGTCTCTCATCTGAAGTGTAGAAGAAATTATGTGCAGCTCATTAATTATCTTCCTGCAGGAGATGTGTGAGCTGATGATACACTTGCGTCACCGGGAGGCGTACCAAAACCTGGGCATGCTTCCGTCGAGGGGCTTCCTCCTCCACGGTCCYCCTGGCTGCGGAAAGACCCTCCTGGCTCAGGCTGTGGCTGGAGTGAGTGCAGGACCAGATGTTATTTACCTAAAACACCGATGTGACGATAGAAAACTGACAAAAGGACAACTGACATTACCGACTTTTAAAAACTGTTACGGCCAGAGGTCTTTCTTCTTTGTTTATACTATGGAATGACATTCCTCAAAACATAAAGTCCATTTCAAAACTACAGCCCTTTATTGTTGTGTCTTTGAGAACTTGCCATGAACTGATTCCTGCCAGAGAGTCTGATACTATTGTAAGGTCTATTGCTGATTCTTTTCCTGTTGTTACATTTATTCTTGTTGTGCTACCATCATTTAAACACACCAGATTTTTAGTATCCATAATTTCTTCTATTAGTAACCCATTGTGATCATTTTTATCACCCCACAATGTGTTATGCCCATTAAATTCACCACACCATGTTACTT